ACCCCATTCCATGACCCCACCATCCCATAATATGCTATCCCATGATCCCCATCCGACGCTTCCCCAGCCCACATACCGCTATCCCATGATCCTCCATCACACACTCCCCCTTCTCCTAACGCGCTCTCCCATGATCCCCCATTACATGACCCCATCCCATATTACGCTATCCCATGATCCCCCACAGCACACTCCCCTTTCCCCTAACGCGCTCTCCCATCATCCTCCATTCTCACCATGTCGCACAGCGCCACATAGAGGAAGATCCCCGCCGCCGCCCCGCACACCCATCTCAGCGCTTCCGCGTCGGTTCCGATGGCCAGCCCGGCTCCCACGCCGATCAAAGCGGGCAGCGCCGCCACGGCGTTCAGCAGCACGGCCCGCCCCGCGCTCAGCCCCGACCGCAGCAGGGCGGCCATGTCGCCTGTGGGACGGCCTCCGTCCGCAACGCTGCCCCACGGAACGGAGCCCCGCCCCATACATCGGCCTCTCTGCCCCATAGATCGGCCCCGCTGCCCCATAGAACGGAGCTCTGCCCCATAGATCAGCCCCTCTGCCCCACAGAATGGAGCTCTGCCCCATAGATTGGCCCCGCTGCCCCACAGAATGGAGCTCTGCCCCATAGAACACAGCTCTGCCCCATAGATCGTCCCGGCTGCCTTATAGAATGGAGCTCTGCCCCATAGATTGGCCCCATAGATTGGCCCCGCTGCCCGATAGAACACAGCTCTGCCCCATAGATCACCCCGCTGCCCCATAGAACACAGTTCTGTCCTATTGATTGCCCCATTGCCCCACAGAATGCAGCTCTGCCCCATAGATCGGCCCCACTGCCCCATAGAATGCAGCTCTGCCCCATAGATCAGCCCCACTGCCCCATAGAATGCAGCTCTGCCACATAGATCGGCCTTTCTGCCCCGTAGATTGGAGCTCTGCCCCATAGACCAGCCCCGCTGCCCCATAGAATGGAGCTCTGCCCCATAGATTGGCCCCTCTGCCCCATAGAACCGAGCTCTGCCCTGTAGATCTGCCCCTCTGCCCCATAGAATGGAGCTCAGCCCCATAGAATGCACCTCTGACCCATACAATGGAGCTCTGCCCCACAGATTCAACCTGTTGCCCAATAGAGTGCCCCGCTGCCCCATAGATCAGCCCCTCTGCCCCATAGAATGGAGCTCTGCCCCATAGATTGGCTTCACTGCCCCACAGAATGCACCTCTGCCCCATAGAATACAGCTCTGCCCCATAGATTCAACCTGCTGCCCAAGAGAGTGCCCCGCTGCCCCATAGAAGGGACCCACTCACCCATAGATTGCACTTCTGCCCCACAGATTGAAGCTCCACCCCATAGATTGGCTTCACTCCCCCATAGAATGGAACTCTGCCCCATAGAATGCGCCTCTGCCCCATAGATTGGCCCCGCTGACCCATAGAATGCACCTCTGCCCCATAGATTGAAACTGCACCCCATAGATTGGCCCCACTGCCCCATAGAATGCACCTCTGCCCCATAGATTGGACCCACTGCCCCATAGAATGCACCTCTGCCCCATAGATTGACCCCGTATGTTGCTCCCACTGCCCCACTCCCATAAGCCCCGCCCACTCCCAAATCCTCCCATGCCATTGGTCCCACCCGCCCATAAGCCCCACCCAATCAGCACCACCCCATGCATCTAGCCCCGCCCACCCAGAGCCCCGCCCACCCCAAAGCCCTGTCCAATCCAGCACTGCCGTATCCATGTAGCCCCACCTACCCCACAAGCCAACGCTCAATCAAGTCCCGCCCCATCTGTGTAGCCCCGCCCCTCCAACAAGCCGCACCCAATCAAGTCCCTCCCAATCCATCTAGCCCCGCCCACACATAAGCCCCACCCAATCCAGTCCCGCTGAACCCTTCTAGCCCCGCCCACCAAACAAGCCCCGCCCACCCACAGTCCCCGCCCAATCAAGGCACACCACATGGTTCTAGCCCCGCCCACCAAAAGCCCCGCCCACTCCAAAGCCTCACCCAATCACATCCCGCCTCATCCATCCATTCCCACCCACTCCTCTCCCCCCGCCCAATCCAGTCCCTCCCACCCCACAAACCCCGCCCACCCCTCAAGCCCCGTCCAATCAAAACCCGTCCCTCCCCCAGGAGCCCCGCCCCCGCTGACCCAGCTCGTGCGGCAGTTCGTGGAGCAGCACCGCCACTGCAGTTCCCACCCCCGACCGCCAGGAGGCGCTGAAGGCGGCGCCCAGCGCCACTCCGTCCGCGGCGTTGTGCAGCGCGTCGCCCAGCGTCAGCAGCAGCGGCAGCGCCTGGAGGACTGGGGGGGGGGCGGTCACGTGTGGGGTCACGTGTGGCGGTATGGGGTCACGTGTGGGGTTTTGGGGTCATGTATGGGGTTTTGGGGTCATGTATGGGGTCACATGTGGGGTTATGATGTCATGTACGGGGTTATGGGGTCACTTATGGGGTCACATGTGGGGTTATGGGGTCATGTGTGG